GCTGTCCCCCAGGCCCCAGCCTTCGTAGTGCCCCGTTCCCACTTCGTGAAGAGACACGCCGTGTATGGTGGTTTGCTCGCCGGCCTCGTTGGCGACGAGCTCGGGGGGGATTTCGTACTGGTATCGAACTTGGAGGTCAATCAGATCGGGGAGAGTGGTGAATCTCTTGCGCATGAGAAGCTGCCAGAGTGGGTAGAGCCCTTTTTGGCCCAGGAACAGGTGTAGGAGTTCGGGGCTGCCGGGGCCGTATGTGGGATCGTTGAACGCCATGAGGAGCTTCATGAAGAACATTTGCGCATTGTAGATATGGTTGTCAGACCAGATGTCCCGGTTGCGCAGGAGAGCCTGCCGTTGGCCGGAGGTGGCTATGTCCATGAGCAACCAGAGCCGAAGCAACGTCCCATGCATCGACCTGGGCATGAGAAAGCCGTTTCTGGCCATGATGCCGATGATTTGCCTGCAGCAACGATCCCTCCTTAGAACGAGCTGCAGGTATCGCAGGCCTGGGACCGAACGAGCCTGCGCCATGAGCTTGGGGTTTGTCCTCGCCGCCTTAGTTCCCTGACACTGCTCGCGCCACGTCCTGCCCGCCGGGTCCATCACCAAATGTCGTCTGTACAGGCGAAACTGGAATATCTTGCCTGCCTCTGGTGCTCGATGTGCTATCCACATGCGGATGCTGGAGAGCATGTGTTCATTAATGGCGTTGTGAAACGTCCGGCTCGTCGCGTACAGGTTGACTAGGTCCTCGGGTGCAAGCTGCTTTCCCAGTTCAACGGCTAGTTCAACCCGGGAGCACATGGCCGTAATTATGTCTTGATTATAATACTTGAGACTTAGCGGGACCACTTCTGCTTGGATACCGTACGGATCGTCTTTGCCAAAGTAGAGCTCCAGCCCGTCGTCATCAAATTTGAATCGCTTGACCGGTTGGCCATCAGTCTCTTCCTCTGCGATTCTCGGTTCTGGGATTTTGCTGTCTTTGGATTTGCAGGCTTCGGTCCCCATCTCCAGCAAGTCGGCTTCCATGTCGTCGAGGATAGAGATACCCCGGTCCCGGACTTCGAGCCTAATTGCCCTTTCCCGTTCCACTTCTTTAGTGGCATACTGCTTTATGGCTTCCGCGATTTGCTCGACAGTGACGGGCTCGGAGGACGACGCGTTGAGGTCGCGGAGTTGGTCGAGGGCAATATGTGCGAAAATGGCCGCTTCTTGGGTGTTGAAGCCATAGGCGCGGGCGTTGCGCTTGACCGTGTTGGGGTTGAATGGGAACGCCATGATGAAGTTCTGAACAGGGCAGAGACGGAGAGAAGGCCTGTAGTGGATAATTAAGAGCTACACAGTTAGCATGCAATTATAAGTTGTATTTTGTGGTGTATTTGAGGTTCTCGGTAGGAGAGGCTAGGTGTTTGCATTATGGTTCACCTATTGTCCACCCATTGCGATAGAACGGACTCACTTCTTGTTGACCGTGGGTGTGCTCTCGTTATAGGCCGGGCAGCTAGTGAACCGGATGAGTTGACTTCTCGTTTGCTACCAGCTGTCACAGCATGGTGGCACCCACAACAGCTGGCACTCCACGAATATTGAAGGGATAGAACCAACTGTGAAATAATCTCCATTGATAACCTTTTAAGGTCGTATTGATACAATCCCCCCCTCAAAAAAAAGAAAAAACAATCCTAGCATAAAAGTTTCCTTTTTTTCCCGTGGACTCCATTCCCCCGGCCTTAATCGTCATTAATACCGCCCAACCTCTTTATCAACTCCGAGCAGAACATGTCAGTCTCCTCATCCTATGAAGACCGACCCTTCCTCCCTTCTGCGAACTTCCACCTCATCTATCGGTCAAGCTCGTCAACCGGCAACTCGCCGTCATCTTTGCCGACAATAGACTCTGCCACTTTCCAAATTTGTAGCAGATTGTCCTCGGCAGCACTAGCAACTAGCCATGGTTCGTTGGGATTCCAGCTGAAGTCGGCAAGGTGGTTCGTGTGTCCGCCATGCATGAAGAGCCTGGTAAATTATTAGTCCCACTGAAGCTCAGAGATAGAAGGGATTGTCGCTTACAGTTCTGGTGGACCGTCATCCTGATCATCAGGCAGTTGCTCCTCTCCTACACGAGACAGATCCCAGAAAATGATTCTCCTGTCGTAGCTGCCACTGCCCAAAATTCCAGCCTCCGATGGGTGCCATGACAGGCTCGTCACGGCATCATTGTGTCCTTCGAGCGTGTGCACCTTCTCCTTGACATTTCGTAGATCCCAAATACCAACAGTCTTGTCAGCAGACGCTGTAGCGACAAGGACCTCGGAGTTGGGATTAAAGGCAAGGGCATTAATGGCGTCAAGGTGACCGCGTTTCGCGACAAGGGCTGCAGTAGTTGTGTTGTCATGTCTGACATCAACAATCTGAAGTGTCTGGTCGTCACTAACGGATCCGATAAAGTACTTCGAAATGGGATGATATTGGACGTCGTTGACAACTTGAGTATGATGAGTATAGCGACGGAAAGGCTTGAGAATCTTGGATTCGGCCTCTAACATTTTCAAGTCCCTATTCACTATCAGCCGTTTCTGGGTCTCCTCGCACGGAAAGTAGCTGCTACATACCAGAGACACATGGACTTGTCTTCACTTCCGGAAGCTAAGCATCCAGCCTCATGGGGGTTCCAGGCGAGACCAAATCCTTCAGCCTTGTGCCCAACCAGTTCAATCTGGGCATTTACCTTGCCAAGAGAGGCAGGTTGAAGCGGGTGCTTGGTGCGGTCGAAGATGAGAATCTTTCCATCTACACACAAGGTGGCAATGATGTCGGGATTCTGAGGCTGGTACCGAGCCTTGTTGACCTCACCAGGGTGCTCAATCTTCTGGACAATGTCGCACTTGATGGCAGCGACGTCACCGGGGTTGCCATAGCCACCAATTTCGCCTCGCTCCTCATCGTAGTTGGCGGGATTTGGGGCAACCGCCTTGGGGATCTGGACATCAGCAATCTGCAGAAAGTTGGCACTCTCATCCGACGTATGGGTTCCGAGCAGCAGTCGGTGCATGCGATAGTTTTTGCCCTCGGGTTCCTTGACATCGGGGAACCACTGGACAGTCAGTGTTGGCCACGTCAAGGCCGTTCTAAGGTTTGTTAGACAAAAACTTCCAAGACGGATGCAGGAGCAGCTTGCGGCATACCCCAAAATCATATCATATAGGAAGGGGCTATTTTTCTTCCAAGTCTTATACTCTGTTACAGTGTGGTCAGATGGCAACTCGTCTGATATCGTCCGGCGGATTCGAGGGCGCGCATACCCTCATTTATGAGGCGCTCGACCTGATCATCGTCCTCCTCGTGGGCCATGTCGACTATAAAGGACAAGTCAGCACACGGAGATAGTTCATAGAGTTCGACCGGAAGGTGGAGGGTGTAGTAAAAGATGCGAGCTTACCATCAACCTCGGGGTCGGAGGCTTGAGCTGGAGGCATGGCTTCCGTTGGTAGTAAAGGGCGGAAATGGAATCGTAGAAAGATATGATGGAATTTATTTAAGCTCCTGAAGCTCGAACTGGTAACAATGGTGATTGGTGGTTGTAGTGCGACGCTGTTTGCACACGATCGAAGGGTCCTGAAAATGTGTTGGCTAGAGTCTAAGTTCAAATGTTAGCTTGCACGCGTCGCGCGTAAAGTGACGGGGGCAGCCAGTACATCAGCCAATAGTGTGTACGGGGCGGAACCCAGCCCACCTGGATGACCGGAGTGCACTACCCTATACTCCCGACCTGGTGATGGAAGAAAAAATTGTGTTGCAGCAATATTGGATCTGGCTTGAAACCTAGTAAAATAACTCCTCAATTATCACTACACTTATTCTTAATTATTATTCAGTTTTTACGAAGGTATGATAACAATGTTTCTGACGATAGCGTGTCTTCACATTCTCTCCGTCAATTAAAAGGAGCACATGGCGAATTGCTAGCGCACAAGTGCACGAACTGATTCTCAAAGCGGCGCCCCTTTGTGACCGTTGACGTACCGTAAATGTCGAAGACACTATGTTTATTGCAGTTCTAATTCAAAGACCCGTAGAAGTAGGATATCTGGCCCTCGCGCCTTCGCAGGGTTTGGCTCTAGCATAGCCTTGCAAAACGAATATAAGAGAAACAGATTGATCACACGATGCATCAGATCAGATTGTCCGAAAAGCCGTTGCAATAAGAAATACCTAGCCTGCCCGTGATAAATATTCCGAGTAGTTTCAACTTGTTTCCGGGTTGGTGCGTAACGTATGGTCCTGACTCCAACATATATCAAGCCTGGTCCTTGCGTGAATTGCTCGGCGGGCTCGATTTTGTTGCTCCGTGCGCTCACACCCTATCAAGTACCTGGCTATGAGGCTTTGTATTATAATATATTTGATGGTAAGTAAAAAGATTCTGCCATAAATCATTTACCCAGGAGTGAGCCCGCCGAGCAATTCACGTCCTCGCTGAGGCAGATGGTTTGTTCGAGGGTCGACGTTAGTATGGCACATCAAGGTGGAGTTTTCGCCCCAACCCCACTTTGAGCCTCTCTACTGGTCCTGGACTTCTCCCCGCAACATTGGCTCGAAACTGTTCCCGCATGTCAAGTAAGTCAATTGATTTGATGATGACTGTGTTTCCGACAACCATTTTCACCCTTCAATAACGATCAATCTCCTCGACCCCCCGAGGCCTCTCCTCCTCTGCGAGCCGCGACTCTCATCAGCTGCGCGAACTGAGTTGTTTTGTTCCCTCGGATTCTGCGTTGCATACTCTTTCCTTGTCGCCATTTTGTTTTGTCCTGGCGCATTACCGTGGTCGACCGATTTGAGCGCCCAAGAATTTTTTCTCTCACGCATTTGCGCAATCGAAACACCGCAGTCTGGCTTGCAGCAACTCGTTGCCTTGAATTATCACTCCTCATCGGAGCTGGCATCTATTTCATCTTTTGCAGCTTTTTTGGGTCTACGATTGCCCACTTGCTGCCATCATGGGGTTTGTTTTAAGATCCATCCGGCCTGAGGAAACATTCTGACCGCCCCGTCCCAGTGTTCCCAAGTTCTTTAGATGGCTCTCGGAGCGATATCCTGCCATTTCGCAACTCATTGCAGAGAACCGAATACCCGAGTTTGATTGCCTTTATGTTCGACATGCCCTCCGACTGCTCGACTCACTTTCGCGTCCCCGCTGACCTAGGTCCACAGCTCGATATGAATGGTATCATTCACAACTGCACCCACAAAGATGCTGGAGAAGATGTTTCTTTTCGCCTCTCAGAGGAGGAAATGTTTATAAGAATCTTCAACTACATTGAGCACTTGTTTGGCAAAATAAAACCCAAACAGCTCTTCTTCATGGCTATTGATGGTGTTGCACCAAGAGCAAAAATGAACCAACAACGGGCCCGTCGCTTCCGTACCGCTCTGGATGCTGAGAAAGCCCGCGAGAAGGCCATCAAAGAGGGCGTTGAGATGCCCAAGGAAGAGCCATTTGATAGCAATTGCATCACCCCAGGTATGCTTGGTCGCTGTTGGTGCTTATCGTCACAATGTTGACAGCCATAGGAACTGAATTCATGGCGAAGCTATCGCAGCAGCTGCGATACTTTGTCAACAAAAAGGTCTCGGAAGATGCCGACTGGCAAGGGTGCGAAATTGTTCTTTCAGGCCACGAGGTCCCTGGCGAAGGAGAACACAAGATTATGGAGTACATTCGAAACGCAAAGGCACAGCCCAACTACAACCCCAACGTGCGACACTGTTTGTACGGATTGGATGCGGATTTGATCATGCTGGGTCTGCTCAGCCATGACCCCCATTTCTGTCTTCTCCGAGAAGAAGTCACCTTCGGACGAGCATCCAAGGCCAAATCCAAGGAGCTTGAGCATCAAAACTTCTATCTGCTTCATTTGTGCATTGTACGAGAATACTTGGAAATGGAGTTTCAGGAACTACATCAAGAGGGAACGTTGAGTTTTTCATTTGATCTCGAAAGAGTTATTGATGATTTTATTTTGATGGCTTTCTTTGTTGGAAATGATTTCTTGCCAAATCTCCCTGGTCTTCACATCAACGAGGGCGCATTGGCAAACATGTTTAAAATCTACAAGGCGGTTCTACCAACTTGCGATGGTTACATCAACGAGAATGGTGTTATTAACATGGCTCGATTGGACAAGCTGTTGACGGAGCTAAGTAAGCTTGAGTTAGTGTCATTTGAACATGACATTTCAGACGAAAAGTGGTTTGCATCGAAGCAAATGGAGAAGAAACTCGAAGCGAAGAACGGAGGAAGCAACAAGAACGCCAAGACTGGACAGCTGATCATTACTTCGTTTCAGCGCGATCTATGGAAACAGAAGATCCGTCCCTTCGTCTCGAAACGTTCCGCCGACGCCTTGGATCTCGGTATAACTCTCAAGGCGGCGGACCGCAAGTTTGCCCAAGATATAGCGGATGCAATGCACCTAGATTGGTCTACCAAGGAAAATGAAAATGGCGATCGCCATCTTGTGCTGTCATTTCCTGCTCGACGAGGAGGTGGTGAAGACGAAGATGAGGATGAAGAGGAGGAGGAAGGCAACCTGGCTGCATTTCGTGTCATTAAATCATATGACAAGGCTTTGGTTGTCGATGTGACATCGGAAGAGGCACAGCAGCAGTACGAAAAGCTCTACAATGAAAAATATGCCGGCTGGAAGACCAAGTATTACTTGCAAAAGTTCCCGGAATGGGCCCCGGAAAAGTATGAAAAGGAGCAAATCGACCTGTGCCAAAACTATGTCCAAGGCCTGCAGTGGGTGCTCTTCTATTATTATAAGGGCATCGCTTCGTGGCCCTGGTTTTATGGTTACCACTATGCCCCTCTAATCTCCGGTAAGATGGATTTCTTCGTCATTGTGTGATTTTGACTTAACAGGACATAGATGTTGCTAAGGGCCTCAACGCGGATCTCAGCTTCAAAAAGGGACAACCTTTCAAACCATACGAACAGCTTATGGGTGTGTTGCCTGATCGAAGTAAGAAGATTGTGCCCAAGGTGTACCACGACCTAATGACGAACCCCAATTCACCTATTATCGACTTTTATCCCCGCGACTTCGAACTCGACATGAATGGCAAGAAAATGGAATGGGAAGCCGTTGTTAAGATCCCCTTTATCGATGAAAAACGACTACTGGACGCTATGGCCCCCAAAAATGATCTATTAGAGGACGATGAAAAGTCACGAAACGGATTTGGTGTTCCGATCAAGTTCACGTATTCTGCAGATGTCAACTTCGCATATCCATCTCCGCTGCCAGGGATCTTTCCCGAGATCCAAAGCTGCCACTGTATTGAGAACATTTTCGACCTACCTGATATGGAAGGTTTGGAGTATGTCTCAGGCTTGGCCACTGGAGCTTTGGTAAAGGTTGAGGCACTGGCAGGATTTCCGACGCTGCATACATTGCCTTACACCGCCCAAATCATCGAAGGCTACGGTATCAACGTCTTCCAGCAGGATAGCAGAAATCCGAGTATTGTTGTCACCCTGACTGATACAAATCTGCGCACGAGCATTGAAACTTTCAAGGCTAAATTGGGCCAGCGATGCTATGTGGGCTACCCATTTCTTCAGGAAGCTAAGATTATGAAGGTTCAGGACGAGCTCTTCTCGTATGAGCTTGCTGAAAATGGCCAGGATGTAGTCGTCAAGGACCATTCAAATAGAGAAGCTTCTGACTTCTCGAAGGAAGCCGAATATTTGGAGAGTTGGCATGCCAAGCGTCTGGGCGTCATTGTCGGACAAGTAGAGTGTCTTGTACATGTGCACATGCTCAAAGGTCTCCTCAAAACTGAAGAGGGCGCGCTAATCAAGGAATACGCCGAAAATCCCAGCGTGCGCAGTGTCTATGCCTCTCAGACCGTTGTGGATGAAGTTGTCAACGAAGACGAGAGATTTATCGAGAAGGAGGCTCTTCCCATCGAGGAGGAGTTCCCGCTAGGTACCAGAGCCTTTTTCCTCGGTGAATATGCTTATGGCCGGCCCCTCGAGGTCACTGGTCATGTCAAGGGCAAGACGGAAGTTGTTGTTTCCATTCCGAGAAATAAAGAACCCGAGTTCTCCAAGAGGATTATTCATCAGGCCGAGCGCACCAATCCTTACACACCATCCTTTGCTGTGGCGAAACAACTGGGCGTGCACCCCTTGGTACTGAGCAAAATCACCTCATCCTATCAAGTTAGCACTGCTGCAGGGCTGAAGCTAAATCTGGGCCTCAATCTCAAGTTTGAGGCCCGCAAGCTCAAGGTCCTGGGATATTCACGAAAGGCGCACACTGGGTGGGAATTCAGCTCCTTGGCAATAAAGCTGATTGCTGATTACATGGTTGCGTTCCCCGATTTCTTCGCAGCCATACAGAAGGGAGCACAGAGAAGTGACATCTGCGAGACCGACCTGTGGAACGACCCTGTCGTTGCCTCACAGCGCGTTAAGGATGTTGTTGCTTGGTTGAAGAAGCAGGAAACAAGCAAGTTCGAGCGAGTGCCACTCGAGGCTGAGCAACTCGACTCCGAAGTTGTCACGGCTTTGGCCAATGCTGGCGAGCAAGTGTACCAAGCGTCCCAAGACATTGATATCAAAAAACTCAAGGGCGTCCCGCGTGCGGCAATTTTGAAGCCATCTGATGCAGAGTTGGTTCTGGGCAATCAGAACTTCAGCTTGGGTGATCGTGTGACCTTCGCTGCTTCGGCCGGAAAGGTACCCATTGCTACACGGGGGACAGTAGCGGGCATCAGTAGAACTGCTACCGCCCTGCTTCTTGATGTGGTGTGGGATACATCATTTATGAGTGGTACAACTCTGGGCGAACGAGCTCCCATGTTCCGAGGCCAAACTGTACCATCTTCATCCGTGTTGAATACGACCGACAAGCAAGTCATCTCTGCGTCCAGCAAGTCTCAGCAGAAGCGAGCTACATCGACAATATCCACAGGATTTTACGGATCTGTTGGTGTTCCCCAGTACAAGGATGCTCCCGCTCCCGCTCCTTTACGTGGTGGATGGCGAGGTGCTCTCAACGGCAGTGGTCATAGCACTCCCGGACGAAACTCTCCTAGTAGAGGATCTCCCGGTAGAGGTAGAGGCAGCCCGAGCATGGGACCCCAACGCGGCGGCAGCAATGGGGCCGCACCCAACTTGCTCCACAGCACACTGGTGTACCGTGATGGTTCCAGTAGGACTCCTCCGGAACAGACTGCCAACGGGACGACTTGGCGCGGCGGCGGTCGTGGCAGAGGTCGTGGCAGTCACCATGAGACGCCTAGCCCACAGCCTGGTAAATACAGCAGCGTCCCACCTCCCGCGAGTCTGGATGGCAACGCTGGTGGACGGGGCCGTGGCCGAGGCAGAGGTCGCGGTGGCGCGAACAGAGGAAGAGGAGGCAATGGACGGGGGGGAACTACTCCCCCGGCTCGGAGCTAAGGCGGTTTATTTTTCATGCTAGATGTCATGTCTAAAGTAAATACTGGGTCATGTTACGGACAGGGACGGGCAAACAGGCTGTTGGACCATTGGCAGGTAGGTGGGAAACTACCGACACGGGTTTATTGTGCGTACTGGGATAGAATCATGTCTAGATAGCTGGCCATGTGTGTTTACGATTACCACGTAATATATGAGATGAAAAGTATCCGAGTTCCCAAAGCGGCGAAACGGTTTGGTCATTTGACATGTCTAGGCTGGTGCTGCAGTAGCCATACATATCGCGGTATGCACTTGTCGTCATCAAGCAACGCGACCACCTTGGCATCGTGCGATAACAAATGTTGTAACAGCTTAAGAAACAGAGCATCTAGTAACTACCACCTCGCGCTAAGAGTGCACACACGCCCCATATATAACCAGTTATACTCCTTTGCTCCATTCTAATCCCGTGATTCGACTAGGCTTTCTTGGCCTTCTTCTTCGCATCCTTGGTCTTTACCGCCGGAAACTCAAACTTTTCGCTCACGCCCTTCTCCATTGGGAACCACCACCCGATAACCTTGTCCATGTTCCACGTAAGCAGGCCAACCCATGGCTGGACATTATAATGCAGCTTAAGGGTCACATCGTTGACGCTGGCAATCTTGCCCGAGGGATGCGTGATTTGGTACTTTGGTCGCTGGTTGTTGAGTTTAAGAAGGCCACTGTAAAAACTGTTAGCTTTTTCTATTTCGCAACCTTTATTTCTTCCTCACCCAAGACCATTGTCAGGTATGGGAAGGGAGGAGTGAAAAAGAGAACGCACCGGCTGGGATCAATCGCCTTGCCTTCCGCACTGCGCTTGAGCTTCTTCATGGCAATGGGCCCAATGTTCTGCAGGTGGTCGGCGCTGGGGTTCGTGATGATGCTATCCCAGATGACGGCTGAGTTTGTAGCGTTCTGGCCCTCCGCCGAGGGCCAATCGGCGGTGACGTAGACGAAGAGCTGCTTTGTGTTCCATGTGAAGAGGCTCGAGAGGTCTGCGTCGAGGGAGAACTTGATGATGGCGTATTCTTCCTTTTTACTGCTATAGTAGTGGGGGCGGCCTTTGACTCTGAGGATAGTGGCTTGTTAGAGCTCGGCGAGGAGGTGGGAAGAGAAGGGGGCGGAAGTTTACACTTGGATGTTGGTTGGGATGAGAGTGCCGCTGGGGTTGCGGGCGGCGAGGAGGTCGGTTGCGGCGATGAAGCCAGCTAGCACGCAGGCGACTGTTGTGAAGAAGCCGAAGACGTTTTGGATGCGGGTGAAGGACGAGTGCATTTTGGAGGATATGGGCCGCGCGAGATGCGGCGCGGCGGGTGAGTTTGGCGGTTTGGATGTTGGATGCAAGCTGCGGGCGAGCTTGACGGTGGTTTGGCGTGAGGTTGCGGGAGGACACGTTGTGGGGAGCTTGTCAATGGAGCACCGAGGTCAAGCGATTGATGCGACACATCTTGGCATCGAAGTTGACGGGTCCCACTTGAAACCCGTTGCTGCAGAACACGATACAATCACGACCAGGATTCCTTCAAGTTTAATTTCAGTTTCTAAACTTCTCATCTAGCTACCTACTACTAGGTAGATGCTGGCTCCTTTTCATGCCCAAATACTCCAAGTACAGCCAAAGTCAAGGCGTTTCAAACGAGGATAACGCTATTATTGCTACTAAGGGTGTGGGTAATTAGCAGTGGCTTGGTGAGATATTTCCTTATGTCGGGACTTGTGAAATATTAAGATGTTACTAAATTAAAGGACAAAAAGGGACCAAACATGACCAAACATGCCTTCTTCACGTTGAAAGGGCGCATGACTGCGTCATAAGTCCACACATTTTTTTTTATCCCAAAATATCATCGTCAGTTCCGTCCGAGGTCCCAAGCACCCCAAAGGAGAAAATGAGAATCACTGGAAATCACAACCACCTTCGTATTCACCATGTGGCAGACGTCGACATGCCCATGCAAAACAAGACAATCCAGCACTACCACAACGCCAGCCTCCACGTTGTATTTCACCGCCCTCGTTCGCCGTTTCGAGGCACATAAAATGGGACACACTCGCGCCATTCCCGCGAAGTTATCTCCATCATACAATCAATCACCACAGTCACAATCAGCCAACTCCCTCGCCGTCCCCAGAAACTCCGTGCTCACGATAACATGCGCACCACTGCCTGCCACACTCCCAGCATGCATCGTCCCAACATTCGAAAACACTCCCACCACGACGTCACCGTCCTCTGCCCACCACAAACCACCCGTAAAGCCCAACACGCCCCCAAAGTGCCCATTCCAATAGTTGCTCCCGCCCGACCCTGCAAACTTCATCCTGAATAACCCGTGGCCCATCTCACTGCCCGGCGTAGCAGCACCTACCCACTGCTTCATCGTTTCCAAAGACTTTGGTTTCAGTAGCTTCCCATCGCGAAGAGCCTGCCCGAACTTTACGAGATCCGAGGCAGAGCTGAGCATTCCGCCCGCCGTCCACTCGACTGATAGATTGGACGTCGTGGCGTCGAGCAAGTCATCCCTGATGAGCGGGAAAGAGGGGCATATTCCTGCCGTCGAACGAAACGTATCCGTCACCCAGTGGTATCGACTCGGCACATGTCCCCTTGCGGGCTCAAACCCTTCGAGGTAAGTGTTCCTCAAGGCCAGCGGCTCTAGAATTCGCGCCCGTATCTCGCTTTCCGCCGTATTGGCTGTGATTTTCTCAATGACGAGACCCAGAAGCGTGTAATTCGTGTTGGAATAATACCACTCCCCGCTCCTGGGCGCTGTTTTCTTTGGCCTCCGGATATATCCTAATGGCTCCGTTTTGGTCCATACGTGTGCCGGAACAAGATGCCTGCCGCGGCCATGCGCGATCCATTCGGGGTCGTCTTCCCAGCTGTCAATTCCTGCTTGGTGGCGTAGTAATTGGGAAATACTTGCGTTTGCAGCGTCGTCTATATTGGCGTAGGTTTCTGGGGAAAGGTGTTGAGAGACAGTGTCGGACAGGTTCAGCTTGCCCTCCTCGATGAGTTGTAGGATGACGGTCGCAGTGAATACTTTGGTGATGGAGCCGATGCCGAATAGGTGAGAGGGCTGGATGGGCTGTGGCGGCTGGAGATTGGCGTGGCCGGCGGTGAGGGTGTGACAGGTGCTATGCGTGAGAATGGCGGCGGAGAGCCCAGGCGTGGAGGTCTCTGATATATGCTTCTGGAGGATGTTGGTGAGCTTTGCGAGGAGGTCGTCTTTGGACGGCATGGTGGAAAACGCCGCCAAGTGTATGAATGAAGAGGGGATTGAGTCACTAGGGCTGTCTTGTCTGCGTAATTGATTGTTGATGACGGGGTCGCTGAGAGTTGGTTGTACTTACATAATTGAGCATCTGGGTATGTAGATGCAGACATGTAGATGAAGTGGAAACGAGGTGTTGAGGGGTTTCTACTCGGCGGTAAGCGCCTCGGCCATTTGGTCGCCTCCATCCACAAGTTTTGCAAGACAAGCCACTCACAAACATATTCACCACGCGCAAAACACAGAAAAACCAGAGAGCAGGATTTTTGCTTAACGCTACATATTCTCCGTAGAAATCCACCGTCCCGCTCTTTCCTATTACAATCAATATATTACAGCCAATAAGAGTTTTCCGCCATTATGCCCGTCCTACACTTACCAAAACTAAGGACAAAAAATTCTAGCTAGGCACGTACGCACTTTTTTTGTCTAGCACACGCCTATCTTACATGAGATTCTTGAAACCAGCCTTACGGCAGCTGGCAACAAGTGACTTGACTTCCTGCGCACGGGCACGAGTAGTGACCATGAGCGCGTCTGGCACGTCGACGATGACGAGGTCGTCGACACCGAGACAGGCGACAAGACGGCCAGAGCCGGGAACGACGATGCCACCGGGAGCTTGTTGGGCAACAACTACAACTGAGTTAGTGCGTGAAATTGCAAAGGACGATAAGACATGGCAGCGTACCCAAGTTACGGTCGCCAAGAATCCTCGGGGAGTTGGCCTCAGCGGGAAGCATTTCGGCGAGGGAAGAAAAGTCACCGACATCGTCCCAGCCTAGAACATGTTAGCATGACTTCTGTGTTAGTGAGACATATGGGTCCATCTCACCAAACGTAGCGGGAATCACGGCAACTCTGCCTTCAGCGGCAGCGGGCTCAGCAATGGCATTATCGATGGCCACCTTTTCCAACGTAGGCCACACCTCGTTGAGGATAGTCTCTCGCTGCGTCTTGTCTTCCCAAGCCTTTGCAATTCTGGTCAAGTCATTGTGCAATTCGGGCTCATACTCCTTCACTAGGTCCATCAGAGTAGAAGCCTTGGTGACGAACATACCCGCATTCCAGCGGTAGTTACCGGATGACAGATATTTGGCGGCAGTATAAGCATCGGGTTTTTCCTTGAATGCGCTGACCAAGCGGGCGGAAGGAGCGTTAGGAACATCCAACTTGTCTCCCAGCTTGACGTAGCCGAAACCAGTGGCGGGATGCGACGGAGCAATGCCGATAGTAACAAGGAAGCCCTCCTTGGCGACCTTGACAGCCTCAGTGACGGAGTTGAGGAAGGCATCCTCACCGGCAATCATATGATCGGCGGCAAAGGATCCAATGACAGCATCTTCATCACGGTGCAGGAGAATGGCGGCAGCAAGGCCAATGGCAGCCATGGAGTCTTTGGGACCAGGCTCAGTGAAGAGGTTGTCGGACTCGAGCTGAGGGAGCTGGGTTTGAATGGACTCGGAGTGGCATGGTCCGGCCACAACAGTCATGCGGGATGATCCGGCAAGAGGGACAAGACGGTGCCATGTCGACTGGAGCAAGCTGCGCCCGGAAAGGTCAATATCCAAGAGGAACTTGGGGTGATTTTCACGGGATAGGGGCCAAAGACGAGTACCGGCACCACCAGCAGGAATGATGACGTAGAAGCCAGGGATTTCACGGTCCATGGCGGGCACAGTTAGCTGCGGGCTGGGCGAAGGCGGTGGGATATATCTCATGGCCGGAGAGAGCTTGGGCAGAGGGTGAGGACTGAATGACCGCAGTGAGCCATCACCACCAGGGGTGAAGACGGCGAGACCAGTGCTATCACGGCGACCCTGCTGATGTGCGTCAGTCTTGTCGCCCCAAGAATTGCAGGAAGACAATGAATATCTATCCCGACCCAAATGCTCAGTGTCAACCTACCATGACAGTCTCTCTTAGGAGCTGGCTAATCTCGGTGTTAGACTGGCGCAGCTGGGCGCACTCCTGGCGCAGTTCGGACATTTCCTCATTCTACATGGCGGACATGATTAATGACTTGGACAAATCCATCAAATTGTTGTGAACTTGGTGATATGCGGCGCATGCGCCGTTGTGTACAATTATCCCTTTTCACCGAGAACCCCTGAGTGACGTGTCCAAAATGAGAACTCACCTGCTTCTGAACGACGTCCATGATCTTGACCAATGCGGCCTCAATACCTGTCTGCGCGGCCATCGTTTTGCTAGTTTTGATATCGAATAAAGCACGTACAATGGAATAAATTAGCGATAATTGACACGTAACGAACGGACAAGTCTAGCTCAACAGGTCAAGTGATGAACAGATCAACTCGCAAAGGGGTAGAAAGGTGAAGGGGCAGGTAGTGTGGCGTCTCTCGAAATCGCGATGGAGAAAAAAAAAGTGGAACACACAACATTGGCAAAAGCCCGAATACTACCATGAACAAGACCCTTGGAACTCAAAGTACTTTGTAGCACTTCTGGGAAGGCGGACTGACTGGTTGACCCCTGTCCCTCTGTCTCTAAGTTAATGTACTGTACTGGATTCGGTCTGTCTGCCCCGCGTTCTTCTCCCGCCGTGTGGCTTGTTGGCATTTCCAGATGTCTTTGTGCCTCTGCATTCCAATCATTTGCAGGTTCTACTGGGCAACCTACCAGGTACCTACCTAGGTACTTAGACCTAGGTAGGTACTTGGTATGTATTATTAGACCAGCACTCCGTAGTAAGCTGTCAATCAACCCCTCCCTGCCTCATTCTGCCTCATTGTATTCCTCATGGCCTCATGCGCACAGTAGTCTGCTTTGTCCTCTGCAGCAATGCGATTCAGGTGGGCTATCACGGGTACCTTGGCTGCATGGTATACACATGTGCAGCTTTCAATGTTCAATGTTGTCGCTTGCATGTGTCCTGCGTGTCTCTACCCTTACCGAGCGCCCAGCCAGGTACCCACGATTATGTAGCCCCACATTTGCCGCTGTCGTTGTTTTCAACTCGCCTTGAACTCGACTCTTTTGACACCGTCTTTGACACCTGGGTCGCAGCTGCCGGCAGCTGGGCATATGACGGTATAGACAAAGATGCCGTATGTATTTAGCTGCTGCCTCCCAAGAAGATGCCTTGAGCCTCAGTTCCAACCTTCATGCCCACCATGCCCCAGGCGAACAAGCGGTCGCGACCGTCGAACCATGCCGACCCTTCAAGCCCGCATATCAAGCGTCCAAAGTTTGCACGGGGAGAATCCATCGACTCCGAAGACGAACTCTACAGAGACCCTTCTCATGTGTCTAAAAAACGAACAAACTTCTCCGCCTTGCCCAGTCCAAAAAGACGGTTATTTTCACGGGGTGATATCCCAAGTACACAATTCACGAAGCCCGCGAACGCGCACATTATGAATTCTACGACTACCCACTCTAGCATTCCCGACCTAAATGTGAGGAGAGCAGTGTCGGGGAAGCATATCTACAATGCGGACGACGACCAACGTGGGCAATTGATCCTTCAGCAAGATGGTAACTCCGCAACACTCGTACCAAAATTTCCAGCAGAGGAGAGTCCGCCGTTGCAATGGATGAGGGTCCCGTTGGACAGCATCACCGTCATAGAACATGCTATGAGCAGCAGCCATTATGTTCGTATAATACGGCCGCGGGGTACCGATTTTGAGGCAAACTTGTGGCTGGAATTTACCGATCACCGAGACGTATTTAGCCTGGTACAAGCAGCTTGTCATGTTAAAACGTCCACATGCCCCTCGTGAGTTTTCGCCACCTTGTTGAAAACTAACTTGTTTGCTGACGTCAATATTACCCAGTGAGACTCTCCGACGTAGATGGCAAAAGGCTTTTGATTCAGCCTCAACGTATACCACCCAGAATACCAGACAGACCCCGAACAGTACTACCTCTAGGTTGGAAATCAGTCCACCACATGCAACGACGAAAGTCCACGGGCAGACAGAAGCCCAGAAGGAACCAACTCGCGGACCACGGCGGGAGAGAATAATTGACAAATTGGAGAACTCTGTATCGGCCGAACAAATTCAGGCCACGGGCGATGCCAAAGATGACGATGTCACTGTTTCACTGGCCCCTACCACCCGTCGAACCCGAAGGTCTTCACCTGTCCATATTACGCGGGATCTGAGGCCTGACCGGTGGACTGATCGGAATCCATTGTGGAGGGCAAGTTGGCACAAATCCCTTATTTTCCCTTCTACTGGAAAAAACAGGGCGACTGTTGACGATGACGATATCCTGAGGCTTGATGAAGGTGAATTTCTAAACGATAATTTGATAAACTTCTACGTGCGATATCTTCAGTTCAAGCTGGAGACCGAGCGGCCCGAACTGTTGAGCAAGGTGTATATTTTTAGCACATTTTTCTTCGAGAAGCTGAGATCAACCAGAGGCAAGGTTAACTATGACGGCGTGAGGGCTTGGACAGCAAAATTCGATCTGCTTTCGTACGACTACATTGTGGTCCCCGTCAATGAAAATGCCCACTGGTATCTGGCAATAATCTGCAACACACCCAATGCTGTCAGTGGCATGCCCAAGGATGAAGCAACCCCCGCGAAAGAGGACGCAACACCTCCGGGGATAGGATTGGTTGCGCGAGACATGCCAGATGTCTCCATACACGGTGACGATGCCAGCACGCCAATCTCCAAAGAGCCGGTTGATCTGGAGCCTCCCACCTCTTCAAGGACCTTGCAAGAATCGTCACCAGCCCCGAAAATTGCAACATCAAATAATAGGCTGGCAGCGGCATCGCATGTTGATCCCAGGTTACCAAGAATAGTCACACTAGACTCTTTGGGGAATCCACATGCAGCCACTTGTCGAGTCTTGAAAGAATACCTCATAGCAGAAGCAAAGGACAAGAAAGGGATTGATTTGGTCATGGTTCCCACTGGAATGACTGCTAAAAAAATTCCGGAACAGGACAATTTTTGCGACTGCGGTGTCTTCATCCTTGGTTACATGGAAGAGTTTTTGAAAGACCCTGCCGAGACTGTCCGCAAGCTGTTCCAGAAGGAGCCAGTAAATTGGGATATTCGCCCGTCTCTTTTGCGAAATCAAGTGCGTGATCTCTTGTTCAAACTGCAAAAGGAGCAACACGAGTGGCTAGAAAGGGAAAGGGCCGAAAAACGACTGCTGTCTGCTAAGAAGAAGAAGAAAGTAGCTGCCACCACCCGAGTGGCAAATCAGCTTGCTTTGCCCCCAACTACCGTAAGGGAAAAATTACTACGGAAGCAGTCAGATGCCACCGCCGTCTTGGCGCATGTTCCACGATCACTAGTGGGAGATGGCTCAGGTAAAGCCGAACCTGATGCGACTAGGTCGCCGCCGAAGAAGCAGCTTCCTGGTGATGACAATCAGGTGAAGCTAGTCAATCCCCCCAACGGCAACCCTAGCACTAGCAGTACCAGCCCAGACGATGTGTTCTACTCAGCGCCATCATCGCCAAGTCGAAAACCAGCAGCCAAAAATGCCGACAAGGCCAAACCGAAAGAACCGGCTACGAAACCCACAGGCTCATCTCAGCAAAAGCTTGATGGTTATCTGTCACACAGACTGCCCAGCTCATCCGAAGTCGAAGCTCAAAGCACAATGACCACGCCAAAAAGACAGAACCTAGCATCTATTGAACTAGTCGATGTGGAAGACGTTGTCCTTATTTCACCCCAGGTGATCACCAGACAAAAGTCTACGCAACTTGAGTCGTCACCGTACTTTGTCCAGCCGTTGCGATCAAGTCAAAGTTCGTCGCCTAAGAGATTGAGGGCTCGGTATGACGGTGTTGAGAGAGCGGTGGATCTTACGTGAAGCATGTTAGGTGTGGAACGCACTGTTGGTGTTTGTGATGGAGACACACGAGAATTGATAATGCTTCAAAAGGCCTCTATCTCCTGTCAGATCCTTGTTATTTGACGAGGTAGATCGGCATTTCTGCATAGCGTGGGTGGCGTTCAACAATAATTCATGTGTTGATGGATGTGAGCATTGAGGGACCATGGTGCTAGCGCTTTTGTTTATAGATTATGATAATGTGATATCTAGTGACTTTTCTTGTAACGACCGTACACTTTTCTCTGTGAAACCGCACCAAGATCATCATACCGGTTCCCATAAGGCGCAACACAGCGGTGCCCCCTTTCACATTGAATGCTGTTCCTTGCGCTAAAGGTTGGGCTTTTGTGTCACTTCTAGGGCACGAGATGTTTGTTTCTCTAATTTGGACGTTCTTCCTTGTCGATCTGACGTCACGGGAAGAGGTAGCGGTTCGTTTCGACACAAACTTATCACTCAGGATAGTATTATCTCTCATCTTCTAGTGCACACCCGGAGATAACCATGTATGTATCTGTAAAAACACGCGTACATGCTCATTCACGAAAGCATGTGAATGCTAGGTACCAAATTCATTCCAAAGTAGAATAACTGTCGCAGTCAACATACAAAAGGAACTATCGCTGCACAGTGTCCTGCTTGTCAACCACATCCTTGGGAGCAAATGTACGCTCCAAGCTACTCTGCCAGTGGTCGTGACCCACGGATTGGTCAAATTCCTCAAGCTTCGGGATAAGGTACTCATTCAAAACAATGGCGCCTTCACCAGATCCCTTGACCCAATATGCGCGAGCACCATTTGTTGATTCCACGTACTTCCAACCCTTTGCAAACGGGCCCGGCATGTAGCCTTTTCTGTTCTTGACTCGATGGATCACACTGGGGTGGACTTCCTCGTTAAACTGCCTCCACGGAATACTCTTCTTCTCGCTGCCGATTTTTTCATACGCCTTTGTCTCGCCCGGGATTCGATGATAGGCGGGCTTGGCCGTGGCCACCAGCGACGACAGCCACCACAAGCTCGTGAAGGAGTTGGTGTCTGCGAGCTCACCGTTGCTCCATGCAATGGCCCTCCAATCGGCAGACAAGTTACGAATACTCTTGTTTTTCGTGTCAATTCCAGAAGTGCCTATCCTCAAGAGAATGTACTTTTGCAAAGCGGTGCCGCTAAGTTGCAGGAGCCCAAAGAGCTGGTCGCACATCCAGGAGAAGGTGATTTCGTCGACGCTGTTTGTGTCGACTGAACCTTGGCCGTGACCCCCTACATCGGAGTGATAGCCCGGGAACCAACACTGCTTGAGGTTCACCTTGGGTGTTTTACCGTCTTCTTGCATGCACGTCGAGTCGATATGCCACAAG